GATTGCAAAGATATAGGCTATTCTGTCTCTCATAAGAAAATAATACATATTCACCATTCATAACTTGGAGAGAATAGGAAAATCAAAAGAAAGCAAAATCACAGGTAGCGCCTGTGGCTCAGTGGGCAGGGCACTGGCCCCATATACTGAGGGTGGTGGGTTCGAACCTGGCCCCGGCCAAACTGCAACAAAAAATAGCGAGTGTTGTGGCGGCCACCTGTAGTATCAGCTACTTGGGAGGCTGAGGCAAAAGAATTGTCTAAGCCCAGGACTTGGAGGTTGCTGTGCGCTGTGACACTACCACTCTACCAAGGGCAACAAAGTAAAACTCTGTCTCAAAAAAAAAAAAAAAAAGATAGCAAAATCACTTGAAGTCTGACTACCTCAAGGTACCTACTGTGAGTTAGTTATTTTAGTGTAGTTCCTTTCCATCATTTTCTGTGTTAGTGCTCCAATTTGAACAAAGCCTTTGGGATGTCAAGCCTAAAAAATCCCTTCTGCTTCCTTAGAAACCTGTAGCATTAGCCCAGACATGCCCTGCACCCTGTGTATAAGACATGTCTTGTGGCAAGAGGATCTCATCTTTGGTCCTTAGAGTTCTGGACTAAGCCTCCCTCCAGGAGGCCAAGGTGAGTGTTTAGATATTCGAAGGAACGGAGGAGACACAGGCCTGTGAAATGATGCTGGCTCAAGGATTAGGCTGGCTGGATCCCAGCAAAGGGAGCCCCACCCCCAAGTCCCATCTGAGCTTAGGCTAGGGGCAGGGCAGATACCAGGAACCCACTCTGAACAGGCTCAGTGCCAACACCCGTAGTTAAAACTCTTAAAACTTGAGGACAGGGTCCCAGCAAGCAGGGACAGAAGGTTGGCAACAGAGAGGTCTCCATCCCTGAGGCCTATGCCAGTGGTCAGAGGTGAGGCCATCATGGTCGGAAGAAAGCGACAAGGAAACTTCTGAGTGCCAGACTAGAGGAGGCGTCACTTAGCTGGGTTCTCTGTCCCATAAAACAAAATGGTATGTGTCACTACCACCTCATTTTCTCAGCCCAGGCTCTCTTCACAGATTGCTAGCGTCCCCCTGGGGGCACCAAACTGGACCAAGCACCCAGGTAGCCTGCTTCCCAGACTGAGGACAGGCTGAGTCAGGCAGGAAAATGGGACAGCTAGGGAGCTGGGTCCCCACCCTCTGTGAACCCCACTGACACATGATAGCACCAGTGGCTTGGAGGGGGCAGGTGACCTGGCCTGGCAAGCCAGAAGGTAAGTCCTCAAACAAGTGGCAACAGGCCACCAACTTGAAAGGGAAATTTGTGCAGCAATGGGAAATGTGTCCAACAAACCTACTGGGTGACTAATTGCAAAGGCTGGGCTGCAGCGTCAGAGGCTGCTTGTTAAACATTTCATGAAGTGGCACCCAGAAAGCTGCCACCTATGCATTCTGGGATTACAGAGGTGACCCTGAAGGGGAGTAAAGACCAGGGGATGGAATCACCTTCAGGTAGACCAGGAGGAAGCCTGGATCTTACTTCCAAATACATCCTGGAGGCCTCTATAGGAGGAGAGTCAAAGGAAGTAGGGTGCAGAAAGAAGGGTTCCAGGGAATTGAGAACTATGTGACTTGCGGGAAATCTCACCCCTCTCTGAGACTCAGTGTTCCAGTCTCAATAGTCCTATGCACCTCACAGAGACATAGTGGGAATTAATACATCATGGAGGGGCCGGGCATGGTGGCTCACATTTGTAAACCTAGCATTCTGGGAGGCTAAGGTGGGTAAATTGCTTGAGCTCAAGAGTTTGAGACCAGCTTGAGCAAGACCCCATCTCTTTACAAAAAAAAAAACGTTGCCAGGCGTTGTGGCAGGAGCCTATAGTCCTAGCTACTCAGGAGGCTGAAGCGAGAGCACCACTTGAGCCTAAAAGTGAGGTAGCTGTGAGCAATGATGCCATGATACTCTACTGAGAATAACAAAGTGAGACTGTCTCAAAAATAATAAATAAATAAATAATTAGATCATGGATATGGTAGTGCTTGGGAAGCTGTATAGCCCTGCCTAAACATGAATTATCTCACTTGAAGGAGGGAACACGTCTGCCAGGGTTAGTAACCCCATCTTCCCACACCTTTATGAACTCCTCTTAGGCTAAAGCAGCCAGGTGGGTGGCTAAAGCCATCCTCACCACCTGGAAGGACTCCGTGAAGGAGAGTCTACTTTTGAGCTTCCTACTGTTGCCATGTGGTGACAGCCTTGAGCAAGAGGGGGCAGCCTGGAGCCCAGAAAGGAGCCTTTGCAGGTGGGGTCCACACCCAGATTTCTCCTGCTGACTGTCTTGATGACTCACCCCCACATCCCAGCCCTTTTACCTTTAAGGAAGAGCTGGAAAGGGTGTGGGAAGAAGAGGAGAGAGAGGCAGGTCCTGGGCCCCAGTCCCGCCCCCTGCCCCTCCCTACCCTTCTCCGGCCCAAGCCACCCAGCCAAAAGGCAGGCTGAGAGCAAGAGAGGCACAGAGTCACGCAGTGGTGCAGAGGCAGCCAGTTAGCCCGCCGCCCGTCTATCTGTCCCCAGAGCCATGGAGAGAGCCAGTCTGATCCAGAAGGCCAAGTTGGCAGAGCAGGCCGAACGCTATGAGGACATGGCAGCCTTCATGAAGGGCACTGTGGAAAAGGGTGAGGAGCTTTCCTGTGAAGAGCGGAACCTGCTCTCAGTGGCCTACAAGAACGTGGTGGGTGGCCAGAGGGCTGCCTGGAGGGTCCTGTCCACCATTGAGCAGAAGAGCAATGAGGAAGGTTCAGAAGAGAAAGGCCCTGAGGTGCGAGAGTACCGAGAGAAGGTGGAGACTGAGCTCCGGGGCGTGTGTGACACTGTGCTGGGCCTGCTGGACAGGTACCTCATCAAGGAGGCTGGGGACGCCGAGAGCCGGGTTTTCTACCTGAAGATGAAGGGTGACTACTACCGCTACCTGGCTGAGGTGGCCACCGGGGACGACAAGAAGCGCATCATTGACTCAGCCCGGGCAGCCTACCAGGAGGCCATGGACATCAGCAAGAAGGAGATGCCACCTACCAATCCCATCCGCCTGGGCCTGGCCCTGAACTTTTCTGTCTTTCACTATGAGATTGCCAATAGCCCAGAGGAGGCCATCTCGCTGGCCAAGACCACTTTTGATGAGGCCATGGCTGACCTGCACACCCTCAGCGAGGACTCCTACAAAGACAGCACCCTTATCATGCAGCTGCTGCGAGACAACCTGACACTGTGGACAGCTGACAACGCCGGGGAAGAGGGGGGCGAGGCTCCAGAGGAGACCCAGAGCTGAGCAGAGTCACCACCTGCCCTGTCCTGCCCTGCCCTGCCCGTTCCAGTCACCCACCTCGCGGAGAGGACTAGTGTGGGGTGGGAGGCCCCACCCAGGGCCCCACCCTTCTCCCCAAGGCTCTATGGAGAGGACTTGCAGAGCTGAGGCCACCTAGGACCGGGGTCCTACACTTCATGCAGATGTCTAGTGCTCCTAACCCCTGATCATCCCACTCATCCCAGCTCTCCGCACCCCCTTCTTCCCAACCACTTCTTACCCCACTCCTTGCCTCCTTGCCCTGCAGCCTTTGGATCTTAGGAAATGAGGTGTGTCCCACCCTGGTGGCTGAGAACTGGACCGTGCAGCAGAGGCTGGACATGGGTGTGTGTGTATGGGGGGGAGTATGTGAGAGTGAGAGCAGGACGGAGAGCGAAAGCATGTCTGCTGGATGCGATCATGTTTCCTCTCAATAAAGTTCCTCTGTGACACTCCTCTTGTCTTTTCCAGTTATTGGTCATGGGCTGGGAGTGGGATTGGAGTATAATTTAGAGACCTGGCTTTGAACCTCTTAGTTAGGGCCCTGGCCTCCCCAGTGTTGGCTCCGCGACCAGCAGGCAAGACTGCACTTCTGCCCTGACTCCAAGGTGAGAGGTGGGGTCCAGTCCTCTCCATCAGGGCGGCTCCAATCAAACTGGGCCAACCCGGGACGGTCAGGAGAACGCAAAGGTGGCCCTGGAGAGGTGAGTGGGGCCGCAGTGTGGGAGGCTGAACTGCTCGATGGGGTGGGGCAGGACACATTAGTCTCAGGCCTGAGGCTGAGGGCAGCGCCACTGGGACGCGCTGTGGTGAGCGGCACTGAGCACCCCAGGTTTTAAAGTGAGGAAGTCTCATCAAGTGCTCAGATCCCAGCGGAGGGGAGAATGACCCAAGACAAGGGTATAGCGCCACCATTAAAAGCTCAGATTTGAGGAGAGAGGAACGTCCCCCAGAGTTCAGAGGTGGGGTAAAAAGGAAACGGACTGAAGGGAGAAGAGCGAGATAGGTGTAAAGGGCCACGGGGTGCCTGAGGAGTCGAGCCCACCGCCTCCGCTCATAGCCGCCAGCAACACGCCGAGACCTGCGACCGGCCGCATCCGTCCCGCCTTTACAGCCGAGGACTGGAGGCGGTGCCCGAGGCAGATCCCGCCCAGTCACAGGAGGGAGTTGCCCCCCCGGGTGCCGCCCCCCGGTCCCGATTGGCCAGTGGAACAGTGAGCAGCGGACTGCGCGCAACGACTCTTCCGGTTGTCAGCCTGGCTCGATCGACTCCGCGACTAGGTAGTGAGGACGCTCCCGCCACTCCACCCACCCTCAGTGCGGAGGGGCGGCCCTTCCCTAGTTTCACTCGGACAAGTTGCTGCCAGCCCAGCCCAAGAGAGCTCGACTTCCTCAGAGCAGCAGGACGGGGAGAGGCTGTTAGTAAAATGCAGCCCCCAGTCTCTGAGTCGTCAACTCACCTGGCTGATCCCAGGCCGCGCCAGGTGGCAGGGTCGTTTGGGAAAGGCCACTGAAATGCCCCCACCACTCTCCAGGGTCCAGGCAGCCCTGGGCTGGTCGCCAAGAGACTTGGATTGTGTTCCTGACTGGCTGTGCGCCCAAAGAAAAGCCATTATACCTCCCTGGGCCTCAGTTTCCTCTCTGTATAAGAGGCTGGGACTAAAGGCTCTATCACAGCAAGGGTCCTGGATTCAAGGTGCCTGGGTTTGACTCCCACCCTGCCTTACCTTTGTGTCCTCATTTGTAAGGAGGGGGATTACAAAACAACCTTCCAGAGTAGCTTCCTCCCAGTGAAGTTTGAGAAAAGAAATGCGGGTAAAAGTAGCTCACAGTACCTGCTCAACAAATGTCAGCTATTAATTATTCCTTTCTGCATCAGCAGGTCTAGGATTTCACCAGCATTTCTATGCCCAAAGCAGAATGATGAGCCAGGTCGGCCCTGAGGAGCAGCAACCTTACTTCCAGGCTGACTGCACAGTCCTGGGCCACCAGAGAATGCTGGCCTCACCTCAGCTGGTCACTCCTCCACCTGGCAAGGTTGAGGGAACTCAGTCTAGCCTCTTCAGGGTCCCCAGAGTCCAAGTTTGGCCACACTCATGGGACTCGAAACTGAAGGGCTCTTGTCAGAGCTCCTAATTCTCTGGCAAGGCCAGTGATGCTTTCTGGGTCCCCTGTTCTCGCCCTTCCTTTCCTGGAGGTGTGTCAGGTTTCAGGGGTCCAAACAGAGACTTGGGTAGGGTAAGTGACTCCTTTCAGCTCTGGAGGTGACCTGGTTTCTCTTACCCAACAGGTCTGGTGACTTTCTCTTAGAAGGATAGGTCCTGGGAAAGGAGCTTTTTCTTCTTTTTTATCAGCCTCTGACTTTTGTCTGTTGGCTCTGACCACTCACAATTGCCCCATATGAGAAGAAATGAGTTACTCTAGGTAATGTGTTGGTGCTGATGGATTTTATTTTTTTATTTGTTTTTGACACAGAGTCTGACTCCATTGCCCAGGCTAGAGTGCCATGGAGTCAGCTTAGCTCATAGCAACCTCAGTTCTGGGTTCAAGTGATCCTCCTGCCCTCCCTTCCAGGCACCCTCCACAACACTTGTCTAATTTTATTTTATTTTATTTATTTATTTTTTTTTTTGAGGCAGAGCCTCAATCTGTCCCTCTGGGTAGAGTGTTGTGGCATCACAGCTCACAGCAACCTCCAACTCCTGGGCTCAAGGGAGTCTCCTGCCTCTGCCTCCTAAGTAGCTGGGACCACAGGTGTCTG